ATTTTTTTTTTTTTTTTGAAAATTTTCAAAAAATATCACTTTTCAAAAATATTATATCATTTACTCAAAATATTATTTTATATTTGGGTTAACTATGTCATTTTTTTTTCTTTAAAACTATGTTAGTTTAGTTTTTAGGGTTTAGGGTTTGTTATGGTCAAAACCTTTTTAAAAGTTTAAAATTTTAAGTTTAAACTTTAAAAAATCCTCAATTTATTATTTTTGGAAATGATGAACTCATAATGACTTTTTTGCAAAATAACATTTTTACAATTTTCCTATATATTTTTGAACTCTCATGATTGGATTAGATGGTTATACTATGGAGTTAATAAGCTCATTAATTCTCATATGGTTTTATGAAATAACCAAATCAAATCGATCGGTAACAGAAATTAAGTTTGACTACAAATTAACGTGGATGCAAACAATTGTTTTCAAGCATTGTTTGAGCATCACGGATCAATTCTAGTGGGCCTGTGAATAATACACACCCTATTTCAGAGTCCTAACTTGTCAGTAACGCAATTTACAAAAAAAAAAAACTCAAAACGCTGTAAACGCTAAATTGCGAAGCAGAATATTCATTGAATCTAACAGGAGAAACCATAACCATCTTAAATGTTCCTTCACTTACTGTTACTATGTACAACCACTTCTTTTAGCACTAGTCAAGATCAATGGTGATGAAAACCTAAATTAAGAAGATGCTTTTTTTTTTTTTCAAATCTCTAAGAAAGATTGATTCCGACAACTTTCGCTGGTTCCGCTCTTTCCGTCAAGTTATCACCCAGGTTCACCCCAAGCTGCCCTCTGTCCCCGGCTCCAAACGCATATAGTGTCCCGGACTCGGTCAATGCAAATGTATGACCAGTCCAGTACACCGAGTTTGTCAAACTTACATGAACCACACGCTCTTTTGTCTCCTTCAACGACAAAACCAGCTTCGGGATCAGAGTATTCTCATCCACATCGCCCTGCTAAATCCCGATATCAAGACCATTGTCTCATTTCTCAAACCAAGAAAACAAGAACACACAGACATACCTGCCCAAGATTGGCTGATTCGCCACAGCCAAATGAGTAAACCTGACCATCATCAGACACAACAAAAGTGGTGTAATCTCCCGTGGCGACGTGGACGGCTTTAACATCCTTTAATCCCTCTACGACCTTGGGAGCCAACTCTGACTCTTCCGTTCCGTGACCCAAACAGCCATACCGTCCCCAACCCCACGTGCAGACTCGTCCATCTTTCCCAACTACAGCAGCATGCCATGCCCCTGCTGAGACCATAACCGGTTCCATATTTAAAAGACCAAACTGCTCAATCAAGCGAGGCTGTTTCTCATTGGTTGCAGAGCCATGCCCAAGTTTCCCACCCAAACCACATCCAACAGAGTACACAGACCTACACAGAAGCAAAAAATAGCAATAGTAAGCACATATAGATCGGTTAAGAACAAACAGTACAGGGACTCACATTCCAGTGGGTTGACATGCTAGAGCAAGGAGATAGCAATAGCCAGCAGCAATTTGCACAACCGGGATGTTCTCCAAGGCGCCCAACAAAGGATGAGGCAACAAACAGTTAAGGTCAGTTTGGTGACCGAGTCTTTCATCTTTTCCCCATGATAATGTATAGACTCTGCCTTCTCTTGACAAAACCGCCGTGAAGAAATTTCCTATCGCAGCTTGTACCACGAAGATTTCTGTCAAGGACTTGACCCGCTGGGGAGTTGTGATTAGCTTCGTCTCTTGGACCCCTAATCCAGCCTCGCTAAAACAGTCTTTTCCAAAGGCATAAACTTCACCAGCATCACTGATTAACATTGTTCTATCAGCACCAATGGCTGCCTGAATAATCCGGATCCCGTTAAGTGATCTGCAACACAATGTACCTCCCATTAACTCAACCTTTCTGACTATTAGGCCAAACTAACATCAGAGAAATGAGTAACCTGACTGGTCGAGGCTGCCAAGTGTCTTCAGTGGTTCCCTGTCCGAGTTGTCCAGAACCGTTAGATCCGAAAGAGTACACAACGCCCTTTGATGTCACGGCAATGCTATGACCAGGACCTGCAAGTGCTTGTGATTTCTCCCGCCTGCAACCTAATTCACCAGCTAGCAAGAAGCTTAGAACAAGCTTCCATGAACCTCCGCATTTCCTTTTGATTTCTTGGCGTTCTTCCTCTCCCATGCATTTAAATATCGCCCTCTTTTGGCATATGTCGAGAGCTGCAACTTCTGAGATGGAGAGTTCAAAGTCGGGAGAAAAATTTGCCCGCTTCCTGAAGAACGAGCATGTTGCCTGAGGAAAAATCGGATCAAACAATCAGAATAGCATCAACCCAAAGGAAAGAACAAAAAACATGAAAATAAGAAGACCATCACTTGCCTCGAGTTTCGCGAGGTCCCGAGGACCCAAATCACATGTTGTGAGAACATGAAGGACAATGGAAGGAAAAGAAGCCAAAGGGAATTCTCCAGGAGCAGAATTCCCAAAGCAGTGGCGTTTTAGACACAGAAATGAAGGTAAGGGCAACTCCATTGCCGCGAGTGGACTCTCGGGAATGGTATGGAGTTGTAACGTAGCAGGGCTATTACCATTTGATGTTGTAGCATCCATTGGGCACTGCTCCGGTTTTGCAGAGCCCAAATGTTTATATAACTCACTAAATAATCAGCAAAACCATATGATCAAACTAGTGCATTTTGTTCAGTCCTATGATCTATACTCCCTCAATTTTATACAATCTAGTAACAAAAAGAGCTACCTTTGATGCTAAGTGGTGATGAACACAGACCGTGAAGACGAAATTTGGCGAGAGAAATGCTGTTTGTGTATAACCAATAAGATCACAAAAGAGATCATCAAGATTCAAAAACACAAGCAGTCTAAAGTTAGAACAAACCCAGATCAAAATCATCATCTTTAACTATATTAAGCGATCAGTCAAAAATCCAAACACAATCATAAAAATTCTCTGTTCCTGGAGATCGTGATCGTGATCGTCGATCGTAGATCATCAAAACATAGAAAAGGATAAAGCAGAAGAGACCCATAATTTCATCAATCACATCGATGATTCAAAGGGAAAAATTACCAGACTTTGGGACTCACAAGTTGGACCAAA